AAAACTGTTGTATGTGTAATGGAGAGGGCCTGGCTGTGAATAATATTAAATACTACTACAGTGTGAAAAAAATAAGTGCATTGAAAATATATATAAAGATGATTTGTGAAAGGCTGCCTATAAGTGAGAAATGTGTTGTGTAAAATATTTTATCAGGTGAAATTAAGCGACATCTAATTGTATCTGATCACCAAGTGGTACAGAGGGCAGGGTGGGGTGTTGCCTTAAAGACTAACTTGTTCAGAAAGGCATAAGCTTTCATAGACTACAGATGCTAACATAGGCTTTAACCAGGAGTGTTCACATATTAGGGTAGGGAAACATGCTAAGAACCCGTTGAGCAGCTCAGAGATAATGCTCTTCCATTGAAGATTATCTCAAACTAGTTTTAGGCAGTTCATGTTGCAGTCATGTGTGAGTGCACCCCAGGCCCAAAAACAGTTGGGAGCAGTCCTCCAGCATCCCAGGAGGCATTGCTCCCAGCTGCTCTGTCTTGTCCCACAGTGCCAGTCGGGGAGCTTCTAAAGGTAAGAATCCCTTCTCTACTCCCATTCTGGGCTCTTCCCAGTCCTTGGGGCTCTCCCCATTCTCCCCACTCCAACCTCTGAGGCTCCTCCCTTGCCCCTTGGGACTTTTGCTCTGCCCCTGTTCCACATCCCCTCAGGACTCCTCCCCTGACCTGAGTGCCCCTCAGGGCTCCCCTGCCCCCCCATGTCCTCCAGCTTACCTGCACTGTTGGTGCTGACCTGGGAAACAGGGAAGGGGAACCTGTCTGCCTGACCACTGCTACTGATCTCTGGCCCAGAGAGTGGGGGTGTCAGGTTCCTCTTCCCTGCTTGCTCCACTGGGACAGTGCTGGGACCTACAGGTGAGCTGGGAACTGCTGGGGCCCAGGTGGCGAGTGGGGATCTTGGATGCTCCAGGTTGGTGGGGGGGTGGGGGATGGGGGGGAATGGTAGATGACAAGGTGCTGTGCAGCAGGTTCAGTCTGCGCTGGCAGGGGGGTGAAAAGCAAGTATGTGGTGGGTCCAATCTGGGGTCTGGTGACACATCCCCCCAACCTGAATTGTGCCCACTGTGCTGCCTGCCCCCTCCCCATTGGCCCAGATTGGGATCGTTGTCCTGCCCCCCACCCACCCAGATTGGATCCACTATGCCATGCTGCCCCCTTCCCCCGGCTGATCTTGATCGAACCCATGTACCACCTGCCCCTCCCCACACCAGCCTGGACTGAGTCACCTCCTCCACCCCCCAGTCCACACTCATTGCACACTGGAAGCTTCCAGCTCACCTGTAGTTCCCAGCATTGTCCCGGCAGAGCAAGCAGGAAAGAGGAACCTGTCTGGCATCGGTACCATTGCCACTCTCTGGGCTGGGCTCAGCCTGGAAAACAGTAGTGGTACAGTGACAGTGGCAGTGGCTGGCACACAGGTTCCTCTTACTGCTCCAGGACAGTGCCAGCAATGCAGATAAGCACAATGGCTTGCAGACAGGTGATTGTTGCAAGACAAAAATCTTCCTAAATGAGCTTAAAAAAGTTGATTTGAAAATAAAAGTCAACAGTATGTTTAAGCTGTATAGGTATAAGTATAGGTATAGGTATAATGAAGTATTTCTTCCACTCTCCAAAGAGTGACACTTAACTGAGCTCTCAGAGATGATCATATATGAGAAAATGAATGACTAAACCTAGTTTGATGAGCATAGTTTATTTGTACGTTTAGTATAAATAACACTATGATCCAGAAGAGTCCCAGTGTTATACTGCTGAATAAAGTATACTAGCCCCTGAAATACTGCCACTACTACGTGGTAGTGTAGGGCAGGGGTTCCCAACCTTTTTAGGCTAAGGACTGGCAAGCTGTGGACTGGAAGTGACCACAGACCAGCAAACTGTGGGCCAGCAGTGACTGGCATACTGTAGACAGGTAGCTGGTCCACAGTATACCAGTCACTTCCAGTCCATGGTTTACCAGCGTTACCAGATTTTTCCATCACTTTGGGGTGTGCTCATTTATTAGGGGTATGTTTCTGAGGTCTCTAATTCTATCGATGTGCTGCTTGTGTTACTTGTGTTTCTATATGGACCTGCATCTCTCCCTTCTGCAAGTCCTCACCCCTAATGGAGCTATCTTGCAGGACTCAGTTTCAACAGGACTGGGTTCCTCCAGCCACCAAATCAGTCAAACACGCACACGCATGCATGCACACACACTAACATGACACGCCTGACCCGGCCAGGTTGATCAGCATGTATAGGCTGACACCCTCATATGCCAGGAATCAGTTCATCAGGGCAACAATAAAATGCAGATAGACACAACCAGGCAGGTGAACAGAATACCTCTGAATCAGGCTGGGTGTCCAGCTGACACCCTCCTGGGCCAGCATTCAGTTCATTAGGGCATGTCTGAGCCAAACTGGGTCAATCAGCATATACAAGCTGATCCCCTTATGTGCCTCAAACTCAGCACAACCCAATCTTTTACCCTGTCATAGTAGTGGTAGCCTCTTGATGAGCAGACCGCACAGTATTTTGGCGCTTTACAGGGATCTTTGACTTAGGTAAAAGAAGTGTTGCTGCAGTGCAAGTGGAGAAGGGGAAGTACAGAAGGAAAAATACAAAATTAACAACCAGGAAAAACATATGGTTTTAAGGAGTAACCAGACACTTAGGAGCTGGCTTGAAATTATTATGAATATAGAAGATAAACTGGAAGGGATACCGCATTATTTCTTCTCAGATGGCTAGCTATGCTTCCACTGTGAAGTTAGCATCAGTGTTTTGTATTTTACCTGTTGTGAATAAGCCTCAGCATAGCAAAACTTTCATATCTTACTATAGTCTTTTCCTGATTCCTTGGTTTGGTCTGTTTTCTAAAACAGGAAATCCCAAGGGCACATGGAACTTACTTAAGAGGATTACTTGGAGTGTTCATAAATTTTGGGCAGAGGACTTCCACCAGTCATCCTGGGAAAAGTATGAGAGCACTTGTGGTCAGGGCTCCAATGGGCTGGACATTGTGATGAACCCTTAACCATCATTCAAATGTTTCCCATACCCCTCTGACTCGGTCTCTTGCCTCAGCATTCCCTAACCTGGCAACCGAGTTTTAGTCTATCAAGTTTAAATAGGCCTCCCATACTGGGACTGGGGAATGTATGGCCCTAGATGCCTATTAAATTTTTCTTCTGCTTAGTTCTGGTTTGGTGAAGTGTCGCGGGGGAAAGAAAAAGTCCTTTGTAAGTCCAGCAAGCTGGGTGCCAGGTTTCCCTCAAGAACACAGAGCTGACAGGTAACACCAGTCCGCAGTTTGCCAATCTGTGGTCACTTCCGGGTCCGACAGCCAGCCCTCCTGCGGACCGGCAGCCAACCTCTTGCAGTCCAGCATCAGGCCACAGCCTTGGGGTTGGGAACCCCTGGTGTAGGGCAAAAAGTAAAAGATGTTATATGCTGTTGAAAATGCAGTTGAGTAGAATGTACTTGCTGGGCTTCAATTTAATTGTGGTACTAGAATTATTGCAACACTTGCAAAAGCTGAATACTTTCCCTCTGATCAGTCACTGAGGCCCTGTCTATACTTTGGCAACGTGGAGGTGCACTTCCAGCTTTGCTGCTAGCTCAGTAATGGGCTGCGGGGGTACCCCCCACCCTTGTCAGCAATCTGGTGCCCCCCCAGACTCGGGAGGCACCAGTTCCCCTGCATCTATATGTTAAAGTTATGCCACAAGTAATGTGTTAATCATGGCATAAGTGGGAAGGGTACTACATGTGCACCTTACTGAAAGTGCCATAAAATGGTAAACAAGCCACAAAAATGTTCCATCTATGTAATTTGGTTTAAAGTCCCCAGCAAGGAAAAATCCTTCAGCTCCTTCTGCTACGAGTTCCTTCCAGACACAGCATCTCTAGGAAAAACAGCATTTCTTGACTCCATGATAAGACATGGATATATTAATATCTGTGGCCAAACTGTTCCTGATTACTAATGCATCTTGATGAGGAAGATACAAAAGACCTTGCTTTCCTTTTATGCCCAAGGCAGGGCTATGGAACTAGCTTAATAAACTAATTGACTGTAGAGAAGAATAGTGCTACAGATCCAAAGGGGCTTATTCACAACAGCTCTGGAGCACAAGTGATCCCCAAACCGACTCTGAAGCTGGGTGCCTCTACACTACCTGTAGTGTGTTTAGGGTTAGATGTTACAATCTGACAGTTTGAAATATACTGAATTGTTAGCAATGTGGCTCTTATTCAAGTACTGACCAGTTAAGATACTGCTTAGGTTTTAGATCTGATGAGAGTGCATCCTGAGAATGGGCAAAAAACCAACGTTTATTACAAGATAAGATTTTATAACATAAATAAAGTTTTCAACATAGCTACTTAGGCACTATAGGCAGTGAGCTTTCTTCTGGGAATTTTGCTGTCTACTAGCTACTCTTGGTCTCCTCATATATGAGAGTCCTACAAATTCTTTTGAGCTCTTTTCAAAGTAGATCCATTGATGGATACCAGTCTCCAGCCACAGACAGGTTTACAGCTTTAGTTGAGCAGGAAAGAGAGGTTGAGCTGAAGATTAGTGTCTATCTCTGCTCTATGCAACTATATCATTGGAAAAATCTTTTTTTCCTTATTCAGCCTTCCCAAAAATAAGATGCATGTCTTATCTGGGGTTCTGTGGTGTATGAGAAAATATGGTGATCATTCCAACTAGAGTTTTAACCCAAAAATAGAAAAACTCCATGAGACAAACTCATGGAAGAGTTTGGTATGGCTATTTTATCTGAAAGGTGCTCAGTTATGATGGCAGACTCTATCTATTAGCCCATACATATGAACTTCCCTACTACTCCAGTCTCTTTGCTATTGGTATTGTTCCTGAGTTCATTTTGTTCGTACTATTATTATATCCTAAGTGTGTTCATTAATGTTAGCCAGAGCTTCAGCTGGTTATGGAAAGTGTGTAATAAATAACTGCAATTCAGATAAAAAAGTTAATAAATACTAGTGAAATCAGGAAGGAAATATAAATAATTTTGTGTTGCACCAAGTATCAAAGATTCATATGAAACAGAGATATTTTACAGAATTAAAAAAACCCTGAATTGTTTTAAATATTTCACATTGGATTTTTTTTTTAAAAAACAGATCAACAAATACTATTAGAGTTATACCCTCAAATTAAAAGTCCATAGGTAGATTTTTCAAAGTAGTCCAAGGAAATTAAGTACTCCACTTCTGGTAAAATTCAGCAGGTTTTATTTCTAATCTCACTAAGATCTCTTAGAAAATCTATGTCTAGATGTTTGCTTTCAATACAATACTAAAACACAATATTTGCATGTATACTACATTTACAGAAATGAGGACAAATTCTAGAGAAGTTTTTCCCCAAAAACATTCATTTAAAATTTACTAAAGACTATATGCGCCATCTTTTTTCTTTTACCATTTTTTAAATTTTGTTTTAATACTTAGAAATTTTGTTCACTGTAGACAGTAACTCAAAGTATCTCAGCAGTATCACAGGCTACCACAGTGTATTTCAAAAGCAGACAATCCTTAACCAATTACAAACTGAATACAGGCAGTAAATGTAACATTGTTGAAAACATTTTTAATGAACATTTACAAGTTGCATTCATTTTACCAACTTCGGGGGGGGGGGAAATCAAAGCATCAAAATGTCATATCTAGTTGTGGTATCTTGATGGCAGCTTTTCCAACTTCAGCTGAAATATCAATTCCAAGTGGAGCTCTAGAGTATAACAAACATTATATTAATAATTATCTTTACAAACAGTATGTTCTATTTTCTGTAGTAAAGAAGGCTTTAGAACTAGGTCCACAAAAGTATGTTCACTGCAGCCTTTAGGAGCGTTTATACATGTGCTCCAGGAGCTGGGGCGGGGGGGAGGGACACGCTAATTAGAGTGGCTCCAAGAGCTGTTCTAATTAAAGTGCCCGGAATATCACATGTATCAGCATCCCCACACTGAAAAAATGGTGATGGGGGTGCTTTAGCTAGAGCTCGAACAAGTTTAAAAGTGCCCCTGCCACCACTTTTCAGCATAGGGACACTGATACACACGATGTTGGAGTCTGCTGGAGTGTGGTAATTACCATACTCCAACAGACTCAAGTAATCAGCAGACCTGCTGTAATTACAGTGCGTTGGACCAGCCTTGCTACATATAAATAGGTGGCCTTGGTGCCTAGCTAATATAATCTATTACCCCAGTTACGCATCTAGGTTCCCTCTATAATGCATGAGGAGAGTTAGATTCCTAAAAATGGGGTGCACCAATTCCACCACGCTGACAGGAAGCTGCCTAAGCTTGCCAATAGAAAATGCTGAGAGGAGAGGTGTCATAAACCCTGGCCCTCTCAGTGGCTTATGTGCCTTTTCTGGGCTGCAGCATTTCTGATTAGAATTCACAACCCAGAACTCTCTCCTGAAGACAAACATTTGTGCCAACCTTTCTAACACAGTCGGAGGTGGAACACTGATGGTATTTCCCCCTTTTTTCCAACAGTTCAGTAATTAGAGCATGTCCTTGGGATATGGAACACTTAGATTCAATCCTGTCCTCTGTCTGAGATCTGAATCTGCATCTCCCATCATTTAGGGCCCTACTACACATTGCACATCGAGCTCAACGTGCAAGTGACTTTACACTTTGAGCTTATATGTCGATCAGTGGTAGTACTAGTTTGATTTTGGAGCAGTTTATACATTCAGCCTTGAGG